AGGGGAAACTAACTAGGAAGTTAGGTATGGGAACCTCAAGAACTACCCACTCCGAATTCAGCTTAACATTGAAGAAGAACCAACCACTTACTGTGGAATAGTTTGGATGACCGCTGTAGAGGTTACAGTATCTGATCCGCAGATTGAAGCAGTTTGTTAAGAAGTACTCAATTTTCAAGTTTTGCTATCAAGTTGGAAGATTCCTGAGGTCATAGCCTAATTAGTTCATTCCAGATAAAGCCTGATTCACCAAGAAAGAGCAAACAACATCTCCCACTCACAACAACAACCTCATCTTTGACAACAACCCTCATTGACGCTACTGTTACAAAGTTCAAGTGAGTCCTCAAATCCGAAGAGATGTGAAGCACACGGCGCATCCCAGAGTGGGCCCAGTTGGTTGCGCGCGCTTCAGCTACGGCTCTCTGGAGAAAGAATCTCAATTCAGGAAAAATCAAGAGGATTCTGAAAGGGTTCATGTGAAATTACAGAGAGGAGTACACTATTCAACAAGAAACGCAGCCTTCAGCGTCAAATTCATAAGCATGTAACCTTTAAAGTTGAGACGCTAAACAATTTTACACTTCTTAGAAGAGAAAAGCACGTGGATTTAATCTGCTCTTACTTTAGTACATAATCGCCCTTAAAAGGATATATAGCCGTTGAAATAGTGCCAATGTAGCGAAAAAGTACCTTTCGGCGGTACTCGGGCAAAAATCCTCAACGTGGCCATTTTTTAAATAGTGGACGTATTTAGCAGTTCTAGTTCCTTTGATAGAGCAAATCTTCTAGTTTATGATGACGTATTAACTTTTCAGATTGGATGAGTTTGAACGGAGTTATGGCTTTGGAAAGCGTAAAAACTCGCACTCATCACGAATTTTCCTCGTTAATTTTTATTGCACGTATAAAGCTGCTTTAGCAACCGTTTGATAGAGAAAATCTTCTAGTTTTGTATGACATAACTTTTCGAATTTGACGAAAATGAAGCAAGTTATTGCTTCGGAAAGTGTAAAAACTCGTGCTCATCTCGAATTTTCCTCGTTAATTGATCTAAATTTGTTATTTCTTATAACTTTTTGTAATTTCAATACTGATTAGAAAGAAGCTCTTCACAAAACTCCCAAATCTGCTTTCAGATTGAAAATTCGTCATTTGAAGAAAGTTATAATCATTTGAATATTTGTTCAAATTTCAATAGTAAATAAGCTGCTCCACGGTCAACGCCAAAGTCAGTCAACACACAGCTGGCGAAGGCGGTTACAAGGCTTCTTTCAACTGAAAGGGGGACGTGTAAATTGAGAACCATAATCTGTGTAGTACTAGAATTTGGTAAGTCTTGTGAAGGAAATAAATAAAGAAGAGATGTTGTCATAGTATGCCATTTTTAGTGACTAGTTTGTCGTTTTTTGCTCCTTTTCTCGTTTGCTCGTTTGGTAGGACTCATCAATAATGATCATTCTTTGACTTTTTCACTTTTGTACTTCTTAAACGAATTTTTGGTGGACGGTGGGCAGGGCTTTTTTTATGAACAGTTTTGGGGGAGAATTAAACAACCTTTTCATAGTTCGGCTTTTGAAGAGGGTCGTTTCATGGACTTCGGCCTCTGGCGGAGGGGGGGTCGTATTTCCAAATTTTCCTCGACGCCTCGCTTGACCCTGACGCCAGTCATGAAGTTCCTCCTCAAATCTGTCGGTTGATTATGTGACAGGACTAAATAAAATAGGGTAGCGGTAGCGGTACAGAGGTCGTGGAATCAATTCCTCGGCAAGGCATTTCTCCTGCCGCAACAACGTTTTACGGTAACCTCAAAAAGTTTTCCAATTAGTTATTTTATCAACACTTGCTCATGGTCACATAAAAATGAGTCTGCGAGTAGTTTTTACCAGATTTCGGTGCCGTTTGCTGATGACTGCGCTTGACGCCCACAGCACACTGGGTAGACGCTTCAGCGAATAGACAGGTGTGAGCTCCATGCCTTACCGTTTTAGCAGCATGTTTCTCTCTACGCTCGTGACTCCTCAACCGCTTGTCGAAGAGCTCGAACTCCAGTGTTTCATCCTCCACTGGCAGCAAATCAATTACGTTCACTTCGTGAGCATTATTCTGTAATACCCTGAATGAACATCGTTTTAGAATACACTACAAACCAACCGCTACAATTCATGACTTACTAAATTTTTGCTCAGTCATGGAACTGAGCACATAAAAACTGACGACTTCTCAAACAATATCGCTTTCGCTCAAAAGTACGATGCATTCAACGACTACTTGAACCTTGTCTACTTGAAGAGGAGGCCGAACTACGAGCGGAGATACTGATGAGCTTAAAGTTTGACAAAATGACGATGGTCTCTCAGAAGGAGAGGCGACACGAACCCTTGCATTTGAGCCCTTTTCTTCATGCAGTGCTTTCTCTCCCAATAATGGCTGCTGTCTTACTGTACCGATTGCAATGAAGTCCTCCCTGGGTGATGTATTAAGTGAAAAATCATTGCCGTTGGGGAGTATGCATATGTGAAAGTTGGTGCTCATAAAAGACAATCTTGCAATTACTTACGCATATATTTCAGAAATTCCTAGGAGGCGAAAAATGGGGGTAGCCTCACCAAACGATAAGCAAATACACGCAAACCGTAAAATTCATCAAAATGGAGCAAAGGTCGCTGGTTTCAAAAAAGTTGAGACTTTTTGAACTCTGTGCAGATATGTGTTAAGGAATCTTAATGCGTCAATATCCTTGCTCATGAAGGTCGTGCATCTTTTCAGCTATGAGAACACTCCAAAAATTGAACTCGCCATTTGCAGTTTTGCGATTGGCGATCCTTTGGGAAGCAAAGCGAAAACCATCACTGATCAGTTAGGTTGTAGCTCTGAATGATTATTATCAAGTCAATGTCACTGACTTGTAGGCACCTGAATACAATTCTGAACACAACCCCATGTGAGAATGAACCCTGTATTTCAAAGGTTTAATGTTGCAATTTGAATGAATATACGCCGTAGCGGGTCGTACAGTCTCAACCTTTGTTTTGAGATAGGTCAATTCTTTGAGTAAGTTCTTAAGAGCTGCTCACTCCACCTCGCTATCGACTGCGGTGCATTTCTTACTCTCCTCCTGCTACATCAGCAAAGGCGTACGTCGTGCCATAAACCAGGTTGCAATGTAAACAACTCTGGATGTGACCCAAGGAAGAACTCCTAATTATGAGGCCATAATTTTGTTAGTATTAAACATTACTCAAATCAGTGAATCCAGAAATCAGCTGGTCTCGAATTAAAAAGAGTTATGCCTTTTTCAAGGGTTAGTGGTCATCTTATTTTTTACTGGTTAAGGAATAAAGAAGCGCAATGAAGAAATGTTGGCTGGGGGTAGATCCCGGCGAATATTGACAATGAAGCAAAGGCGTCATACCAATCTTGGTTACTGCGCCTTTTGTTCTCGTTTATATACGGTAACGCGCCCTGTCATGAAGGGCGAAATTCCACGTCCCGCTGCCAGCGTCCACAGTTGTGAGCAATGCGCTCCTGCTTAAATCGTGCTGCGGTCTCTGGCAGCAGTTCGTGATGGCGATGTACGTAAATATCCTACAGAAGTGTACAAGAGGCTTGTTTCGAATGAGAACTTGTTCGCAGTGATCTCTGGCTTCTTATTTACATCCACACTGTGCTTTTCCGTACGGTTTACTTACGGAGTTTTCAACCACCATTATGGAATGTTCAACCAATGAAACGGACCAATCTGCAAGGAACTCTCTGTGCACTCATACTCGATTTCTCGTGAGCTCTTGTTCAGAGCTTACGGACCTTGCTGATCGACTTTCTCAGCAGAGTGAAACCAATGCCCATAGTCGTGTTTGCAGTACTGCGTTTTTTCGTCAGCTGTTTAGTTCATGCCTGCATATCTTCTCTGGCCTCTTTTTCAAGTGTTCCCATTGATTCTCGCTAAACGTCCGCAGTGCAGCTTCCTTTGTGCAATTTTTTGACCAGTCTTAGCAATACTTGTATTCGTGCTTTGTGCTGCATGTTACGCCCAAGTGAGTTATCGAAACTCTTGAAATTCGAGGACAGCAATAAAAGAAAAGAGAAAGAGTCAGAGGAGGGGACTACTTCGGGAATCCTTTTACTGAATAATTCGGCGCAGAGACATTTACTAGCTTGCTTCTTCACTGCTCCCTGGAAACAGTTCGGCGTGGACGAGGTATTGCCAACCTTGGCGATCCTGCTCCAATTGATGAAGAACTCCTCCAGAAATGTGAATTTTGGCCACAAAACATTCTTGATCATAAGTTGATCTCTGCTCGCATAAATATCGCTGAATATCAGCACTAATGATATGTCAGGGGCTTGAGGGGAGCCTCAGCCCGAATTCTCAGATATTCCGATCCGACTCGTGGTGAAAGCGTTGATCACAGACAAAATAGGTGTCGGATTTGACAATGTATAGAGTAAGAAACTTCAATAGGGGGTGTTCCAGTTGAGGTAGCAAATGGTTAATGGCTGTCGCAGGTTTTCTGAATGAAGTCATTAGATTTTCTCTTTTTTTTCCTTTTTCGATTCTCCCACCTGTTTTGTTCTTCAAAATGCACTTATGTTTCATCTGAGCTCAGAGGGAATGTCCTGGTCCTGTAGCTGGCAAACCCTGGCTGGCGATTTCCAAATCTCCGTCGCCTTATTCAGCACCGTCACTTTTCTTTCATGATCCCCCTTCATGGTCCTTTCCGTGGCTCTGCAAGCAAAGCTCGAAATCTAGTTGTCTGCAGCTTTTGCGCTCCCTTTTCTCCCGCACATTTCTCTCTACGTTTCGTGAAGGGAAGTTCCGTGCAAAGACGTGACGTTTCAGTCGCAAGTAGAACTTTGGAAAGACAGCTATGTCAGGAAGGCAGAACATGCTGCTTTAGAATATCTGAACTACTCCGCTATAAACTTGTCTACGACCAGGTGACGCTGATTAGTCAGAATGAGTGGTGTTGGTCGACATGGTAGCTGCAGACAGCCTCCTCAATGTGAAGATCTTTGGGCGTGGTTTTAGGGCCAGTCTCTGCCTTAAACGTTATTTACAAGAATTCTGGTGAGCATATTGTTTGCCATCTTCTAATTCTTCTCTCTGGAATCCTTTACGTCCTACAGAATGCGTGCGTTGAGCGTACACTCCACGTATTTTTTTATATAGGCGAGTAACTTTTTGGTGCTGTTATACGGTGGCGCACAAACGAGACGGAAGCCAGTGAGATTGCTTTCCGTGAAATGGATTCGCGATTCGGTGCATATGGGCATACACTTGTGGGTGGAAAGTTAGCGCATCTCTTGCATTATTTCACAGGCACACCGTTGAACTTTTTTCGGATTGTCCTTTAGCTGCTGAACACACGAACCTCAACTGGACTGCTCACCATCAAGTATCCACTGCTCATTGCTGTTAATTATGTTGAATAGTCTCATAAGTCTGAAAGGACGTCGCGAAGAGCCAAGACGCGAAAGATGACGATGTTCAGCCACGGGGCCTTGTCGACTTCATTTCGCTTGCATTAATTACGCTAAAGTAGAACGAGAGTTTTCCATGAGATACCTGAAACTGCTTACTTTTGAAAGTCATGTGTGATGTCGACAGCCACAACAGGATGAGATGGCCTCAAACAAGAGAACTATATAGAAAGGGCTTAGAATGAGCAGATCATTTCAAGTAAGGAAGACACCATGGGCTTGACTGTGTAGCGGGCCACCATCGCTCATCTTCTGGTTGCTTATTACAAAGCATGGCGTTCGAATGACCCCAAAAAGCAAGATACAGGCATTAATGGTGCGCTCAAGATTGACGGCTGTTATATCCGAATATGAATATATTTGTTGGGTCTGGTCCAACGCTAGGCAAGAAGGTAAAGCAAGAAACGGCTTAAGATTCTCAAATTAACAAGCGCGAAGACGTTCCTTTTTCAACGGGACAAAGCTCACCACATGGAGAACTACTGCAAAAGGCGAGACTAAGCTCGCCTCTCAGATAATTTGAGTGACAGAGCAACTTTGAGGAGCATGGCAGTTTTTTACTTTCTTCGATAAGTTCTGTACTAATCACCAAAAAATAAACTCATTGCAGACCTAACAATATGCATCACTCCATTCTTGTGCCTTTGAGAACTAGAAGGGATACTCAAGGAATCCAAGAGCAAGAAAAGCAGAGAAATTAAAGAGCAACAAGTGAATGACAATTGCTGAGTGGCCTACCTTTTTAACCGTATTAGTTCCTAGAGCATATTATGCATGGGTGAGATTTTTAAGAAAAACTACAAAAATAAGCGTAGGATGCCACCAGTTAATCCCCACAAGATTATTTATCAAACATGATAACCAACAACTTTAGAAAAACAGCCAAACTACTAGAGAACCGGGTTCGCTCCAAAAACATCTAGCCTACAACATTCTAGTGTGAAACCGTCATGAACACAAAAGCATTAGTTAAACGTATGCAAAATCAGCAATACGGCTTTGTGCATCACGGTGCGACACTATTCAAAGAAACGATCTCTACAACTGCTAGTCGAACAGTCTCAATTTTGCCACATAAGACCATGTGCATGGTACTAACGAACAAACGACTCATAGTTCTGAGAAACCGTTTCTTCTTCTTCTTCTCCCGAGCGTTAATGTCGCACAGTCGCAAGGCTCGCTGAAAAAACTCAGCATAAATGGCATGCGACAGGAGTTCTTTTATTCTCTTATCCCTTCTCTAGTCTTCCTCTCTAATTTTTGATGGTTGCCAATTCGAATCTCATGTCAAAACCGTCCACCCCCGCCTCTCCTATGCTTTGCACAATCTAGCCTCTTTGGCTTGCTTTACTTACTCAACTTAAACAATACATAACATTTATCACACGCACTCGCGATAATTAACAGCTGGATATAATCGAGGAATTTATATTGTCACTCACGGTGCCCAACACGAATAGCTAAATGATGCCACAGTCATAACGACAGTGCGATGGAATATAGTTTTAGGCATTGAATTCTTGTTATGGTGGTGCCACAGAAAGGGTAAGTCAACCAGCCGTCGCATCCTTATTATAAAACTAACAGAAGCAAGTGCTGCTCTGTGCATTCACACTGCCTTCCTTGTCTACTGATACTGAGATTCGCTTCCACTTTGAGGTGGATATTTCACAAAACATTCAATATATGTTGTGTAGGGAGAAGGATGT